CCCAAGTAGCTGAGACTATAGGCGCCTGCCACAATGCCTGGCTATTCTTTGGTTGCAGCCATCGTTGTTTGGCATTGTTGTTTGGCGGGCCCAGGCTGGATTCGAACCCACCAGCTCAGGTGTATGTGGCTGGCCTTAGTCCCTTGAGCCACAGACGCAGAGCTCAAGTGATGTTTTGTATGGAGAAAAGTTAAGAATCTTTATAACTACCAACTATGCCCTCTAGAGTAGCAATTATGGAGAAGCAAACAAAGGGGCAGTGACTATTATCAAGCAAATGAGGGGACAGTGGCTGATTATTATTATTATTTCAGGTAAGCTTCTTCATGGAGTTTTGAGGCCTTTTTAGCCCTCACCTTCTGCTTCTTCATCAATTTGTAAGGGCGGTTTCAAAAACACAGCTCTGATGATGAGATGGCCTTCCTCCAGAAGGCCTCAGGAGGTTTAGGAAGAGCACTTTGCCCCGGATTGATTAGGCCCCAGCCTCTCCTCACTTCCAGCCTCATCCTCCCCACTCCAGGGCGGGCCCCACTGGCCCTGTGCCCCATGTGTTCTTGCGCTTCCTCCTTGGCCATGTTCCCTCTGTGGGCTTTGGTTTCAAAGTCTGGGGCCTGGCCCTCAGGGCACTCAGAAAATGCTTGCCAGATGGCTGAAGGCACCAGGGGCCATCCTTGGGTGCTTTAGTCCCTTAGGCCTTCTTTGGCCACACCTCTCCTGCCAGGCTCCTCCCTCCTCCCTGTTGGGTCCCCAACCCCACTGCCTCCGGTGCCTCTTGAAAGACCTTTCCCTAATTTCTCCTATTTATAGCATGGAACAATGCTGTTCTCAGCTCAGGCTGACCATGCAGAGGACAGAGCCTTGCCCCCTCTGCAGCAGTACCTCATCTGTGAAGGCAGGAGCTGTGCCCTTCCCACCACATTCCTACTCCACACCCTGCCAGAGGTGGTGGACAACCCTCCATCCCAGGAAATCCCTGAAGGTCTGCCCCCCCCCCGGCTGTTTGTCTGCCCCTGGCCAACATGTCCTGTTCTGTTTCCAGGGACGGGAGCAAGATGTGAGTAGAATCATCCAAGCCTTAAGTGAGTGCCTTGCTGCCCTTCCTCGGCAGCAGCTCCAGAATGTCAAGGGCATCGGAGTGTCGGGACAGATGCACGGAGTCATGTTTTGGAAAACAGGCCAAGGTATGCGGGCTCTGAGGATGATCTTGTGCTGGTGACTGTCACTTATGTAGCTAGGGAAGTGCTGCAGAAGGCTTTCTATAAAGAGTGTGGTTATGCCACAGTGGGAATAGGGTCTTGCTCCTTGGAATGACACAAGGTCGCCTGCCTCCTATATTTTGTGTACATCCCATCCTATGCAGGTCTGTAATGAATGGAATGAACCACCTACTCACCTATCATCAGCACATTGTCCGTGAACAGGCAGAGGGAGAAAGGCAATTTTTTTTATTCTGTAGGATTTAGCAGAGAGTACTTTCCACTGCTTTCTCCTTATTTGTGTCAGTCTCAGAACATTGGTGGTGACAACCAAGAAATTAGCTGTAGCTGTAGGAGGTACCAGGGCACAGAGGGAACTCTTCTGGATTGGGCCATGCTTTCTTTTGTTAACATAATCACAGATATTTGTGATCTTTAAAATCTCAGGCATATCCTTTTATGGGCTCAGTTGGGAAGCACTGTTCAGTCAGTTGTCTTATGAAGATCTGTCACCATGGCAGACCAGAGATGGGTGACGTATTCTCTTTGGCCCTGAAGAGGAGTACTAAGCTATTAAGATAACAACAAGCACTTCACCTGTCAGGTGCACAGCTAAGGATATTACCTGCATGTTCTCATCAAAATTTCCCCAAACAACCTTATGACTCATAGTTTACACTAGAGTTACCATTGTGCAGATGAGAAGCTGAAGTTCAGGGAGATTAGTATAATATGCTCAGGGTCACATTTCAGCAAGTGGCAACTCCAGCTTTCGAACCCAGCTCTATCTGACTTTAGACACTGAGCTTTTAAAGTCCCCTGAGGTGACCAGAGCTACAGGAGGGCCTAGAGGCTCAGTAGGGAGGGACTTCCCAACAGAATGTCCAAGGAAGATGAGGCTCCTAAGGGAGCTGTGAGTTCTCCATCATGGTTGGCATTCAATTTTTTTTTTAAATATAGATTCTCACACTGTTTCCATTGGTAGAATGCTGTGGCATCATCATAGCTCACAGCAACCTCAAACTCTTGGGCTTAAGCAATCCTCTTGTCTCAGTTTCAGATTGCCCTGGGACTAGAAGCACCTGCCATAATGCCTGGCTAATTTTTCTATTTTTAGTAGAGACAGGGTCTCACTCTTGCTCAGACTGGTCTCAAACTTCTAAGCTCAAGCAATCTACCTGCCAGAGTGCTAGGATTATATGCATGAGCCTGGCCAAAAATTTGTATTTATTTTATTTAAATTCTTTACCAGGCCTGGCCAAAAATTTGTATTTATTTTATTTAAATTCTTTTTTTCTTTTTGAGACAGTCTCACTTTGTCACCCTCAGTTGAGTGCCATAGCATCATAACTCACACAGTAACCTCAAACTCCTGGGCTCAAGTGATTTTCTTGTCTCATCTTCCTGAGAGCTGGGATTCCTGGCTATTTTTAGAGATAGGGTCTTGCTCTTGCTCAGGCTGATCTCAAACAATCCACCCACCTCAGCCTCCCAGAGTGCTAGGATTATGTGAGCCACTGTACCTGTCCTAAATTTTTTTTTTAATTATAAAAAATTTTGCATAGTTATACAAAAATGGGAAGAATAGTGCTGTGAACTGACATATCCCCTTCACTCGGAGTCAGTAGAAATGATATTTGCTGCAGGCATTGTAAACAGAAGATGCGTAGCTACTCTGAGGGTATGTAAGTTAAGAGGATCTAACATTGGGTTCACCCTTTCTGCCTGGAAAGTGAGTGATTTGGAGTCCCCTGGACTCAGTGTGTGGTGACTTGCCTCCCAGCAGGACTGGTGGCTTATGTTGTGTCCTTTGATCACTCCCAGGACAGGGCTGGGAAGTCAATGCAGGCTCTCCCTCCTCCCCTTCCTCTACCTGGCTGGGCCACAGGAATGCTTGACTCCAGGCAATAGCAGGAGCCGGAGGTGATGAGGATGTCAGAGCCAACCTCTCAGGGGGAGTCTAGGTTGTAAAAGCTTTTTAAACTCCTTAATTTTGCATTAACGAGAATAAATGTCCTTTTAATACTAAAACCCTTCCCTGAGAGGACAGCAGAGATCTAATGATTGTGGTCTGGTCATACACCTTCCTTTCTGCCATTCTCCTGGACTTTGTAACAACCACACAAACCATCAACCACATCGTTGAAAAGAGCTCCTTAATATTTCATCGAGCCAGCCCATGTGCCTTCTGGGCCCGTTTTCTGTTTTGGGAAGGAGGAAAGCCACTGTTGGGTGATGATGATATATCTGCTTAGTGGAGTTGAGAGAAATCATATTTGGGATCAAATCTTGCTGCTTTTAGTGGTAGCTTTAATTCAGTTCCTACAGCATATAAGGCCCTGTGCTGGGCCCTGTGGGAGACATAGAAATGAGGGAAGGCAGCTTCTGCCTTCCAGAACACAGTCCACGCAGATGGGCAACTCGAGCAGATAGCTAAGTGCTTCAGTGAGGGCGCAGACGGGCAAGTTGGAGGGGAGAAGAGGGAGGAGGGATTGATTAGTCTCTTCTGAAAGGCCTGTGGTTATACCAGTTTCCAGATTCCATTTTCAGGCTCAGTAGAAGTGGGAGAGAAATGAAGATCATAAAATCAAGCTAAAAGGCAGGCAGCAGACTAAGAGAAAATATTTGGCAGTGGATGGTAGACAAAGAACAGGTCAGTACCTATAAAGAACCAATAGCTGAGAAAGGACAAAGGGCCCTGTGGAAAAGGGATACTGATAGGTTATTTATTCCTAGAGGAAGAGATAGAAATGGCTAATAAATATGTGAAAAGATACTCAATATCATTAGTAATTAGGGAAGTTCAGATGAAAACAACAATGAAACATCATTTTTCATCCATTGAAGTGGGAGAAATCAAAAGGGTTGGTAATGTCAAGAGCTGGCAAACTACCTCCAAACCGAGAGACTTAAAGCAACAAACATTCTATCATATCTTGTGTTTCTTTTTTTTTTTTTTGTGGGGAGGTCAAGAATTGGGTAGGGCTCAGCTAGCTAATTCTTCTTCTATATGGAGTTGATGGAGGTTGTTTGTTGGTGGACAGAAGAGTCAGGGAGGTTCAAGATGGGTTTACTCAATGCTGGCACCTTGGTGGGGAGTCTAGGCTTACTTAGAAATGGCCTGCTGGATACCTACATGTCCTCTTTCTGTATAGTCTCTTTAGCACAGTGGCCTCCGGGGAGGTGGACTTCTTACCTGGTGGTTTGGTTTCCCCCAGAGACAGTGCTCTGAGAGGCTCGGAGAGTCCCATGATGTCGCTACCTCCACATTCTCTTGGTCAAGCAAGTCACCACTGCTCCCCCATGTTCAGAGAAAGAAGATTTAGACACCACCTCTTCATGGGAGGAGTAGCAAACAATTTGTGGCAATCAACCACAAATAGTGTTTTTAAATATTTAAGTAAAGGAACTTAGAATCTAGAATTTATAGCTGATTAAACTATCATTCAGAGATGAGAACATGAAGTATTCAGAGGCATATAGGCCTTCAGACTCTTTGCCACAGAAAGACCTACACTGGAAATAGTTTTGGATGAAATATTTAAATAGGCTCGGCGCCCGTAGCACAGTGGTTATGGCGCCAGCCACATACACCGAGGCTGGCAGTTTGTCTGGCCGGCTGGAACCGGACTGGGCCAGCAAAACAACAATGACAACTGCAACAAAAAAATAGCCGGGCGTTGTAGTGGGTGCCTGTAGTCCCAGCTATCAGGGAGGCTGAGGCAAGAGAATCGCTTAAGCCCAAGAGTTTGAGGTTGCTGTGAGCTGTGATGCCATTGCACTCTACCAAGGGTGACATAGTGAAACTCTGTCCCAAAAATAGAAAAAGAAAAAAAAAAAAAGAAAGGAAAAAATAAATATTTAAATAAAAGCAGAGAAAAATCCAGATGTCACAAGATGGCCAGATTCCTTGGTAAAGTTTGATATCTTAAAATCAGTTAGTTAACGCCTAAGGAAAAGAGAATATATATTGATAAAAAATCATCTAGAATTAAGCCTCCATAATGTTATCATGACGAAGGAGAAAAGGGTGGCAATCAGGAGACTTGAGATTGTACCAAACATCTCCTTTTATGGGGTGGTGGGAAATATATATCAACTTAAAAAAAAAGAATAAAAAGATGGGTGGTGCCTGTGGCTTAGTGGGTAGGGTACCAGCCCCATATACGGAGGGTGGTGGGTTGGAACCCCACCACAGCCAAACTGCAACAAAAAATAGTTGGGCATTGTGGCAGGTGCCTGTAGTCCCAGCTACTTGGGAGGCTGAGGCAAGAAAGTCGCCTAAGCCCAGGAGTTGGAGGTTGCTGTGAGCTGTGACACTATGGCACTCTACCAAGGGCAATAAAGTGAGCCTCTGTCTCTAAAAAAAAAAAAAGAGTAAAAAGAAACACAGAAGTGGGATGGTGGAGGGACTACATGACTTGCCCAGGGTCACACACTCAGTACATGATAGAGCTGAGTACTGAACCCAGGCCCTCTGTTATTGGGACCCATGTGTGAGCCAGGTATTATCACAGGGCAATCCGTGTTTGTGATGTACACTCACCAGTAGAGGAGTCTCAAGGCTGTGTTGGTGCCCAGTCAGTTCTCTTCTGTCCATTTTTGGTGATCTCCTTTGTTACAGGCTGCGAATGGACAGAGGGAGGACCTACCACTGTGTTTGAGCCCAGAGCTGTGAGCCACCTGATCACATGGCAGGATGGCCGCTGTAGTAGTGGGTTCCTGGCCTCTCTGCCCCAGCCAGAGTCCCATCTCAATGTGGCCACTGGGTTCGGCTGTGCAACCATCTTCTGGCTTTTGAAAAACTGGTATGGACAATTATTCTTTGATTAGGTGCTAGGTTTCCAGGAGAATGAGAGTGGGCGGGGGGACACGTCAGCATCACTCCACCTTTTGGGTTGTGCCTTAGTGAGCAGGGCCTGGCACCAGGTGCAGGCCCAGAACTGCTTCATTTTGCAGAGTGCTCTATTAGTGATCTAGTTATCACCCATTGAGGGCAAGTAATTTGCCAGAGGTCACGGGTGAGTTCATAGCAGGGTCAGGCCTGTGGGGCTGCCAAGAAGAACAATGTCCTGCTGTCCCAGGCCTAATGGTTCCTCCTCTGAGTCCCTTCCTCTAGGGCTGACTTGGGCTGGCTTTGCTTGGAGTGGCTAGGTGGTCCTCACCCTAGGGGTTCTGGCTGTGCTTGATCCATGGCATGTGGATTATTGCTGCCACCTAGCTCTGCTGCCTAGTCCCCACTGCCCACAGCCAGGTACAGCATGCTTCTGAGTCCATGATGGACCACGTTGAATTGTTTTTGGTATGCAAAACAGCCCGGAGTTCCTGAAGTCCTACGATGCAGCTGGCACCATCCACGACTACGTGGTTGCCATGCTGTGTGGCTTGCCGAGACCCCTGATGTCCGACCAGAATGCTGCTAGCTGGGGATATTTCAACACCCAGAGCCAAAGCTGGAACTTAGAAATGTGAGTATAATATCTTTGTGTGCTGGCTCTGGGCCGAAAGGTCCCTCCAGAGCTTGAGCTTCAGAGAGGTCTTTCCTATCCAGGAATGGTAGAGGATTCCTAGAGGCCAGGATCAGCATTCAGTCCCCCCAGCCTGTTCCAGTCGCTGGTATAGGTGGCCCCAGTGTTAGTGAAGTCCTGGGGAGAGGGCTGCACCCTCTGCCTCACACCCTGGGGATGCCATCCCGCTCTTCCACAGCCACCACTCAGATTTATAGTGGGCTTTGATTCTCTGTGATTCTGGGCCCAGCCTATAGATTTCAAAGTGCAACTTCCACTCTTATACACATATACAGATATACATACATATATATATACACATTTTTTTTTTTTTAGATAGAGTCTCACTCTGTTGCCCTGGGGTTGAGTGGTGTGATGTCATCATAGCTCACAGTAACTTCAAACTCCTGAGTTCAAGTGATCCTCATGCCTCAGCCTCCTGAGTAACTGGTACTGCATGTGCCCACCACAGTGCCCAGCTAATATTTTCTACTTTTAGTAGAGAAGGGGGTCTCACTTTGAATTCCTGATGAGCTTAGCCATCTGCCCGCCTTGGCCTCCCTGGGATTATAGGAGTGAGCCCCGACGCTCAGACCACTCTTTAATAAATTTTAAAATACGATTATGAACTAGAGGTATTAGGCTCAAGGAGTGCTTTTTAAGTTCTTTTTAAATGATCATTTGCCTTTTCAGGTACGAAGTCCAGTGCCCTATAAGTTCACTTCCTTCAGGGCCCAAATTCTGAGCTCTGAAATAAAACAAAAAGCACCTGGTAGTTCAGGTAAAGGACTCTCTAGCATGTTTTGTAAAATTGACAGTCCCATCTTCACTAACCCTGAGTGATGAATGCATTTGGTATCCAGGAGATGGACAGGTTTGACTGTGGACTGTGCTAACCCAATCGTAACCCTGCACTGAATCTCTGACTGCCTCCCTCTGCAGGGTGCATTCCCTTTAAACAGGAGGCTGGAATTGACCGCTGCTGCTTAAACTGGTTGTTTTTTTCCCTGGAAGGTGAATCCTAAGCTTTTGAAAGCCAGTGTGCACTATTTACAAAAGCTAAGCTCCTGGTTAAAAAAAAAAAGTGTAAAAAGCTTCCCGTGACAATACTGGCTTCTATCCTTCTTTGTGTGTCCTGTAGCGCTTTCCCTTGCTGAGCTTCCTGGAAACAATAAAAAGCAGGAAGCCAAGTAGGGGTCCATACGGGGTCCACTTCTGTTTTGCAGACTGAAGAACTCAGGCTTTCCCACCCACCTGCTCCCAGACATCGCAGAGGCAGGCAGTGTGGCAGGAAGAACTTCCCACAAGTGGCTTGAAATCCCAAAGGGGAC